AAGAAGAAGAAGAAGAAGAAGAAGAAGAAGAAGAAGAAGAAGAAGAAGAAGAAGAAGAAGAAGAAGAAGAAGAAGAAGAAGAAGAAGAAGAAAGCGGAACAATAATTATGCTCGGTGTGTTTGAAGTCGGAAGCTTTTCGCAGACGCACTGGGTAAAAAGTTGTTTACAAACAACTTTTTGTCCGAAAAGAAATAGAGAGAAAACCACTTTAGCCAGATATAGCTGACATTATTCTCATCAGCAGTATGGAGGCCTACAGTAGATTTTAACATTTATAAATCGTATTTTTGAGCGGTCAAATCGCTGGTAAGTGTCGTGTTTTAGACTGTAACTTTTTACATGTAAGTTTGGTTTCACTGATTTAGTATTCTTTAGTCAAGTATATATCTATTTAAAAGTTAACCCGGAACTGTTTTGCTAAAATGATAATGCTAATATCCTATTTTCAGCTGACTTGCTGAGTAATTTCACTTTCTGTTCTGTCGACAGCTAAATGAGATGTGACCTGACTTCTTTCTTTCGCCTCCAAACTGAAACCTGTAACAAGAAGAGGTAAATAAATGTGGAGTTCTCTAAAACATTTCGCTTCTAGCTACACGTTTTCGTTACAGTTTGAAAACGAGACCCTGATAATCCTGATTACCATTTTAAAGTTGTGAAAACCAACAAGAAGGTATCAGTTTCTGATCGCCAGAACCTTCTCCCGTCTTGATAACATTATGTGAATCATGAGACAATCTGTCAGGTTTCTGAGCACATTCAGCTCTGAAGGGAATAAAATGGATCTATTGTTGATTTTATCACTGAAGGCTGAGGAGGACATTTCTCAAAAACTTTCATAATATCCTATTTTTCAGGCACCAGATGTCACCTGATTTAAATCAGAGTTGTAAAGTAACTAAGTACAAATAGGTATCTGTACTTTACTTGAGTAATTATTTTTCAGCCCACTTTTTACTTCTACTCCTTACATTTTTAAAAAAAAAGTCAAGAAGTAGAAAGTCGTTACTTTTATTTCATTTTTGCTTGTTTTCATTGCAGCTTGTTATTGTAAAAAATAAAATCTATCCATATAAACTGAGCCTCCTAGATAGAGTGAATTTAACTGTGGTTGAATGAGAAGTATAAATATGTAAAACTCTGATACTGTATTCAAAAATAGAGGAAGTATTTGTATTTCATGAATTATATTCTTACATTTGGCCGCAGCCCTCAGATAGATTTTCATTTTGGGGAAAAGCTTTGTGCAGCCTTGATATATGTATATAAACTGAAACAGCTGGACTAGTGCATCCTAAATTTAACATCCATTCATTCTTTTAATACAACAGTCATTTCTGCAGTTTTTGGGGAGGTCACCTCCATCATCAGTGTGTGAATGTGAGTGTGAATGGGTGAATGTCTGTTAGTGTAAAGC